TTGTGTGTCCAATTTATTTTAGATTAATAAACCTTCTCCTTTATTGCTTAGGACATTACTTTATTAAAAAAAATTATGATTAAAGGGATTTTAATTGGCAAAATTAAATAGATTTGCACATCTACTTAATTTCTATTCACTAATAAAATTAAATGGACGATGACATCCACTTCATTTCTCTTTAAATTATCAATGTCGAGCTTTACTATAACGCCCCACTTTGATTTAAGGAATAATCTATGGCTTATCCAAAAATCACAGTTAAAAATTTTAGAAATTCATTTTTCGATTCCAACACATTTAAAGGCGTTACCATTCATTTCATAAAATAGTTCAAGTCATATATGAACTAACGAGAATTCATTACCCGAATTCCACAAAGGATTTCATTGTCCAAATATTAACTCATCTCGTCACATCAACATCATCAAATCATCAAGTTTTAAAGCATAATAATAAACCACTCATTGGGTTTTCAAAACAATCCATCAATGTCAACGTATCATTACGTTCATCAACAATTTTCAAAAACTCATTGTTTGAAAATATTAAACATTTCATCAAAATAGATTATAAAAGAAGCAGAAGCAAACATACATGGTCAATGTCAAACATGACCGACCACCACTCGTCGTCGCCTGTCGTACCTGCCACCTGTTCAACCTGAAAGGGGGGGAGGGGGAGGGGGACATGGGAGTGAGCACAACCATTTGCTCACTACTATGCATGTAAATAACATATTAAGACAGATAAGCATGGTCACAGCATGTACACGAATCAATCATATATCCCATCTCCTAATCATCATAATACTAATGTGCACATCTATCATTAGCTACTGATGGTCTTTTCGAAGGCCTCGCCATGGGTTTCGCATCGTCACCCAAACAGTAGGAGTACATGTCGAAGGCCTCGCCATGGGTCTCACATCGACACAACATATCATTAAGACTTAGGGAGACTGCCTCTCATTAGGCCCATATTATATTGGCAGGGATAACCGTTCGACGACTGGTACAACTCACATTTGAAGATTACATGGTTCATATGCATACATTGATCACACCATCCAAACAAAATATAAATCACTTAAGGCATAGATATTTAAATAAACCACCTGGACACTAAGCAGG